AGCCTCGGTTTACCCTGTCACTACTCAGTACTAAAGCTTGTACCCTGGGCTCTTTCATCCACTGACTCAGCCTCCAGCTGCCCCATCCTTGCCCTGGGGTCTCTGGTATTCGCTTCCCATCTTCCTGGCCTCCTCTCCTCTTGATGGAAACGTGGGCCTCCCCGCAGCCACCACCTCTGCTCAGCTCTCCTCGGACGCTGCTGCTCCTCAGTGCTGTTTCCAGGCTCTCTCCCCTCCTCCCCTGCCCCCCCACACCCTCCGGGTTGCCTGGGGTCCCCCTGCATCCCTGCAGATGCCTGCCTTGCCCACGGCCCCCTTCTCCCACGTCGCCCTGTCATCATCCTTGGAGACCCCACAGCTGGCAGCCGGTGCCCCCGTGCCTGGCCTAGACCTCTCACTCGGGGATCTTGCATGGCATGGGCACTGCCTCCCCCTGGTTGTTAAATGTTGAATAATTGTAGCACCAGTCAGTCCGGCCCAGGGCAGGGAAGAGGGTGGAGCTCTGTCCTCAGGACCTGCAGCTCTGCAAGCCCCCAGGCCCAGTCTGATGACATCTGGCCCTGCAGGGGGACCGGTGATGGGTCAAGGTGGGCAGAAGAAGCAGATGCTTCGTGCTGGCTCCGCCCATGGCTTCTGCCCCTCACTCTCTCCCCTTGCCGCTCTCAGCAGGGTCATCCTGCTCCAGGCCTGGCCTCCTGGGGCCGCCGGCCCCGAACTGAGGATCGGTTTCACAGACAGATCTGCAAATGCTGATGAACAATTTACAAAGCTGTGCACTCCCGAACACCAAACGGGACTTCCTGCCACAGGGAAGATGGGGCAGCATCTGGTGCGACTCCCCGTGTCAAATCGTGGCCAGACAGGGCCATCGTTTAGTTTGTAACAGCCTCATCATCAAAAGATCACACCGATAATTTCTAAAAACCAACCGATAATTTGGACCTTATTAGGATAATTTGCTGTATCACTTGCACTTTGACTTTTAACTGGGTAGGCAGTTTCTTAATATATACTTGATGTATACAGAAAATAAAAGGGAATGTTTTGGTTCTGCCTTATTAATTTGTATGACCTTTCCAGTTGCCAAATACCTTGAATGTCATTCCTCTCTCCGCCTGAGCCACCCGTGTTTCTGGTCTTAGCCTTGACGTTGGGGTTACTGATCGGCACACATACATCCCCCCGGCAATCTGTCTTTTGCACCCCACATCCTGACAGCCTTGTCTAACCCTTCCAGCTCTGTGACCTGAGCCCTGACTCTGACAACTCCCTGACCCTCCGCCCAAGGTTTCCACACATACTCACATGTGCGCGCCCACCTTCCCCCCTCAGGCCCCGCCTCCCAGTGACCCGCTTAGAGGCTGCACCCCATCTTCACAATCACAGCCCCCCGGCCCTCTTACACTCACCCCAAACTCCACTCCTGGCTAAAGGTGAGTCCTCATTCACACTGCACCTGCACCCTGCTTGTGCACAGCCGGAGAGAAAAGGGAGCTGCAGCCACCACTGCCCACACAGCATACGTCACACATCCAGACAGCCTGGCCCATCCCTGCTCCAGGCTCACGGCAAGCAGCCTGCTTCCCGTTTCAAAAGGAAAATTGGGGCGGAGGACTTAGCTCAGCGGTTCTGCTGCCTGCCTTGAGGACCCGAGTTCGATCCTCGGTACCAAAAAAAAAAAGGTGGGGGGAAATAGCAGTAACCAGAAGGGACGTATCAAAAGCTGTCCCCACCATGTCCACCCACAGTTACTACCACCTCTTTGTGCACTCACCCTTGTAAGACAAGGACCTTGTGTCCTGGACCTTGTCCCCTCTCTCGGCTCCCTCCTCTGTGCCTGTCCCTTCTTCCTTCCCCACCAGGACATTCCTGTGGGCATCATCTTCCCTGAACAAATGGGGGTGGACACTTCCAGCAAGGTGAGGAGGGAGTTAAGAGAATGAGGCAATGAAGGATGTGGGAGGCTCGGGAAGCAGGGCCAGTATGTGCAAACATCCTGTGGTAGGAAAGAGTGGACAGGAGAGAAGACCAAGAACAGAGAAGGAGGAAGTGGGTGGCTGTGAGACCCAACAAACCAGACAAGGTCAAGGACCCTTAAAGATGTTGAGTTTTGCCCTGGGAGCACTGGGCAGCTGGTGTGTTTTAAACTGGTGGCTGCAGGGTCAGATTTGCATTTTCAAAGGATCTCTGTGATTACTTCATAGGGAGGGGAAAGAGTGGGTGAAAAATGTCAATGTGGAGGCTGCAGTGTCACCCGGGGGAGGTGGTTTGGTGGAGGTGCTGTCCACAGCAAGGCAGGGGCAAGACAGAGAAGTACTGTGCCACTAACATGGGCAGGACACAGCGAGGATGGAAGGGCGGGGAGGAGGAAGAGAGGCCGTGAGGGTGGACTGGCTCAGACTTGCAGACAGAGCTCCGAGGGGCCCTTGCTGAGCCAGGTTGAGGAAGAGGAGAAATCATGAGTCCAGAGTGCCCAGCACAGGCCTCAGAGAAGAGGTGTGGCTGCTCGGGACTCTGCATAGCCTCTCCAAGCACATCTGAACCTCGATCTGTGCCAGGAGCCATGGATCCCGGGGTAGCTGAGGCCCAGGATGGGCCCTGCAGCGTCCGGAGAAGCAGATAGGCATGGCCTCCAGCGTGCAGGTGCCCGCCCTCAATGAGAGACGGGAGAGGGAGCAGGGCCATCTGCCAATTAGCTAGGCACATTGGTAGGAAGGACTCTAAGACAGCCTCCTGGGCCCATTCCTTATAAAGATGCCTGGCTCTGAGTTGACTGGATTGAAGGAAAATGAAAGTGCTTCACCAAGCGTTTTTCAGCTACTCTGATTTGTAATTTTAACAAGAGGGAGAATTTTTTTTTTAATCTACTTCACACTTCCTTCGTGAACTTTCCAGATTAAGAAGGAAGAGGAAAATGTATGAATGGAAAAGAGCAACAGTGCATCAGGGGGCAGACCAGGCCTCCCGCTTACACCCCCAGACGCAGGAGATGTGTAAAAACATGTGGGGGACTGAGGAGGATGAAACACCAAACCACACGATGATCAGCCCACCGGGTGCCTCAGCGAGGTGACTGGAAGTTCCAACACAGGCTGGCAAACAGTTTAAGAAATCGGGAAAACTGGTGGACTTGGTGCAGGGACAGTTTGCGTGTGGATGGGAGTGAGCCGGAGTCCTGGCTATGAAACGCCTCACATGCTTATTATATTCATCTAGAATACGTGCACATACCTGTGTGCTGGATATAGGGGGCAGGCTGGATAGCCTTTATCCAAAATGTATAGGGCCATGGGCCGGGGATTTAGCTAGGTGGTTCTGCTGCCTGCCTCACAAGCATAAGGACCCAAGTTCAATCCCCAGTACAAAAAAAAAAAAACTTTCAAGATACATAGGACCACAAGTTTGGAATCTCAGATTTTTTAAATTTTAGCACATTGTAGATATATAATGAGCTATTCTGTGGGATGAGACCTAAGTCTATTCATAAAATTCATTACATTTCACGGGCATATAAACCAAAGGTAATTTTCATCTGATATTTTTTTCTGGACCTGTGGTTTGATTGTGTCCCTGCACAGGAGGTCAAGATGGAATTTTATGCTTCTGGTATCATGGTGGTGCTCAAAAAGTTCTGGATTTCAGAGTATTTCAGATTTTGGATTGTTTATTCGGGAGTATTGAACCTGTATATGTAACATATATATAGGTCTCTGTGTACACCTTAAAATTCTGAAATGATATTGATGGTACAGAATCAAACCAATTCCCACTTTTGAGATGTGAAATTTCAAGACTCTACAAGAAAATAAATTGCAAACAGGTGCTGAGGACTGCATCAGTTAGGCGACGCTAGCCAGTGTCACAGAGAATCCCCAAGTGTCTGTGGCTGAACATAGACCAAGTTTATTTCACTATAGCACCAGAGGCCCTGAGGACTAAAGCACCAGGTACCATTCCCAGCACGATGTGTGGACCCTCAGATGGGGAAACTGAGTCAATGCAAGGAAACTGAGCTGCACCAGGCAGCCTAACCACAGAACCTGCATCTGGGCCCGGGCCAGCCTCCCAGCATGGGCTCAATTCTTTTCATTAGTGGTACTTCTGCTGGTGCTGGGGACAGGACAGTGTGTAAGACAGACAAGAGTCCCAGCCTCCTGAGGCAGAACCTCTAGCAACTGTACATTGGACTCTATTCATCGGTTTGGATTAAGGTTGCCCTGATAGTTCAGGAATTCGCTCAGTGAATATCCGTGAGGGCTTGCAGGGGCCTTGTGCTTGGAGTTGGCCCCTGGACTGGTTTGCGCCTGCTCAGCTGTCACCCAGGAAATATCTAGGCTTTAGTGTGAGTCTTGCCTGCATCATGTCCTAGCTACAGATCAGTGCATCTCCCTGAGCCTCAGTTTCTCTGTCTGTAAAATGAGGTGATGACACCCCTCTCACAGGCCTGAGCCAAACTGAGTTGCAGTTCAAGGCTGTAGAAGGGCCCACCCGCCATGGGGACTCAGCCTTGGGGACCCCAGAGCTGCCAGGCCTGGAGAAGTGAATGCACCCCTGCAGAGGGACACACAGACTCCACTGTGGGGCTGACCGCCGCCAGTCTGGGGTCTGCCTGCTGGGGAATCAATCTGCTGCTTTTCCATAGGCAGGGCAGCCCCCCTGCTCCAAGCTGGGGCACAGAGAGCCGCTGATGAGCTTCCATCAGCCTCCCTAGCTCTGCCCAGGCCCAGAATCAAATCTTGGCTGCTGCCAAGCTCAGCTAATCCTCAGAAGCCTCGACAGGGATGGAAGGCCGGGTTTTGAAGTCTTAGCTTTAGATCCTCTCCGCAGTGCTGCGGGTGTGTGTGTGTTTTGATCTGCCAGGCAGATGTCCAAACAGACAAAGCGATCCTTTCCTCCTCCGGGATAAGGCGAACTTCAGAAGAGCAAGGAGTCGGGAGGGGGCAGGGGCGCTGGCCCTGCAAACTGCCACCGCTCATGAACTCCTCTCCCTTGTTTTGCAGGGAACTTCAAAGGCCTGTGCAAGCAAATCGATCACTTCCCAGAGGATGCAGATTACGAAGCTGACACAGCAGAATATTTCCTCCGTGAGTCACACATCTTTTAATCTCCCTCCAGGTGGTGGGTCCTGCACTCCCTTCCTTCAGAGAGCCAAAGATCAGGGACCCCTGGAGCCCTGGTCTCTGCGGAGGGCAGGAAGACGCTGCACCTCGGTCCTTTCCTCCTCTTTGGGGTTCAAACCTTCATGTGTTCTGTCTCCTCCGCCTGCAACACCCTTGCCACCCTTCTTTGTCTGGCCAACTCCTGTTCATCCTCCGGGTCTAGCCGAAACATCACCTCCTCCAGGAAGCCCCCTGTGTCCTGTGTAGGTTCCCAGAGCACAGTACTTTGTCGTTCTGTGGGGTCCTGTGTGTTGGAGTCTCCATCCCCCGACTCCACCGGGCAAGGAATCTCCCTCCTCCTCCTCGATTCTATTCCCAGCCCAGTGCCAGTACTTCTTAAACAAGTAAAGGAGAAATCCCACCAGCCAGTACCAGAGCTTGGAACTTCCACTGGGGGAAAGGAAAAACAAAAAGCAGAAAGAGGTGGTTTTGGTTTTTGTTTTTTTTTTTTCTTTTCTTTCTTTTCCCGAAAGTCAAACCAAAGTTAAATCCAAATGTAACAGCTGTGATCTTAAAGCCACCTGAGACATATTATCGAGAGACCGCATTCTGAGGCCCCAGGGGAATTTCTCAAGCATCAGCAAAAACTAACCAGGCTCCCTGTTCCCCGGGAAAGGGATTTCCCAGAGAGAGGCTGAGAGTCCTTGAGGCCAGGGCCCACGGAGCTGAAGGCTCTCAGGCCAGTGCCTCCTCTGCCCAGACAGGTTGGCGAGGCAGCCTCTGCTCCCCGTACCCCTCCTCCCCCGTGCAGAGTGGTTAGTGTCACCCTCGGATCACTTTTATGAAAAATGTAGGAGGCATTTTATTATATGGATTGCCCCTGTCTCTTTCAATAATTACTCCTCACATCAAAGCCAGCGCTCAGGTCAGCCTGGAATCTGGTTTCACTGAGAAGCCCACAGAACAAGAAGGCAGCCAGGAAACTGGGAAGAGAGGAAGGGAACGTGGTGCAATTTCTAGATTCTTTTCTTAAAGGGGAAACAAACATCATACCATGTGCCTGTCGTTTCCTTTTCCGAATTCCCCCAAGACATTGGTCTTAAATGGAGTTCCCAAAGGGACATGGGGTTGTCGCTACCGTTGCTGTGTCTAGAGCTCTCACCCAGCCTGAGCTTAGTAAAGGAGACCGGCGGTGCAGTAAACACAGATTGAGCACCTGCTGTGTATGAGGTCCTGTGCTCAGTGCTGAGGAGGCCAACATGGCCGAATGAGACAGCCTCTGGCTCCTGCAGGGCACAGCTGGTAGGTGGGGTGGAGGAGGGGTATCAAGGAAACAGCTGGACTTGAGAAATGAGGTGGAAGGTAGTGACCGAAGCTGACCACACACTGGGTACCACGCCGTGACACTGTATCAGCCAGGAGGTGAGGGCCTGGGCAGACTTGCTTTATTCACCGCTGCACCCAGAAGACAGTAGGTGCTTGAGAAATGCACTTCATTTAATAAAAGAAAGACAGGGTTCTCAAGTGGCAATCCCCACCTCGGTGTGCCTCGGTTTCCTCCACATTGAGTTGAGCTTACAACATCGGGTTCCCCATGATGTCCCTGGACAAAAAGCTTGGACTAGAGTCAGCAGTGAGACATCCCCTAGATCTGCTCTAAGTTGACAGAACTCAGCAGTGTTTCCGGGGCATCTATAACCAGGGTCAGCAAACTTCCTAGAAAGGACGAGATAGCAAGTATTTCTGGCCTTTGAAAACACACAGTCTCCATCCCAGCTGCTCAGCTCTGCTCAAAAACAGCCCTAGGCCCCTCAAACACAAATGAGTGAGGCTGTGTTCCAGTGAAACTTCATCCACAAACTCAGGCAGCAGTCGCATGAGACATTGTTTGTCAATCCTGATCTGTAAAGTGGTGGGCAAGACACCAACAGCCGTGCAAGTGCTGGTCAGTGAGAGAAAGGAAGACAGGAACCACTTCTCTGGAAGGACCCCCTGCCCCAGCCCACAGCATCCCTTTCTGACTCCATGCCTCTGCCTCCCCTGCACCCTGAACCATCTCCATCTCACCCCATGCCCGTGCGCACTTGGCATCTTGAGCTTCTGGAAGGCAGAATTCTGCCCCAAGCACTTCTGTACCACAAGACCTCAGCCCAGGGTCCAGCCCAGAACTGGAGCCCAAAAGAGCCCTACTTTATTCACTGAGAAAGGAAGTGGCTGGGTGAGTAAAGAAATGAAGAAGTCGTGGTCAGATGCCAAAAAGAACAATGCATGTGCCTGGTGCTTCCAGGAGGAGAGAGCACAAGGCGGGCAAGTGGGCGTAGCTAGTCTCATAAGCGGGGTGCGGCTTTTGGTAGAGCTGGGAGGGACTTCCATGGAGGTGGGAGGAGCTTTCTTTGGAGGTGGACAGAGCCTGAGCCAGCCCTGCATTCAGGTCTCTCACACCCACCTGCACATCTTACCTGTCCATCCCTGAGTGCGAGCCATCTGGAGATAGAGCCATTGGCCTAACATCTGTGCGGCACACAATGATAGACTTGGGCTCCAAAAGCATCATTTATTCATTCCTTTCCTTCATTCACTCCTGAGACACTTACCATGTGCCCACTGTACCCACTGTGCACTGGGCACCCTTGTCAGTAGGGGGACTGTCGTGAAGATTGACTCCAGTAGAGGAAACAAGCAGTGAGCAGGTGCACCCTCTCTGTCCCCAAGGTGGGCTCATGGTTCTGGAAGGGGTTGGAGGTAGAGGGTAGGGTAAGGGGTAAGACAAGAGCAGGGGCCTTCAAGCAGGAAAAGCGGGCCATGTTTGGGAGCAGAGAGAAGGATGGTCAGTCTGGCAATGAGCTCACCACATCTCAGTGGCCAGGAAGGTGAGGAGACCCCAGGAGGAACCTGGGCCACCCCTGTCCTCTGTCTCACCTGCAGGACCGAGGAGCAGAGCATGGAGAAGGGACAGAGAATCCTAGGGGGTGGCTGGACAGGACAGGCGTCCAGAGCTCCCCTCTGGGGTTGAAAACAGCAGGCTCATGTGCTCAGACCCACAGCCCAACCTTCAGCAATGTCTGCACCTCCTGGAGGGCTGGAAGGATGAGGATCCCCAATTAATGCGTGAGGCCTGAATGAATGAGTGCTCTTATTTCTCAGCCTCTGAGCATTTGAGGAGTCACACAGCTTGTCCTGAATCATAAAGCCCAGGTTCCCATGATGGAGTGATCATGATCAGACCAGGGGTTAACATCTGATCCCCTGTCACCACCCTGGGTTGCCATGACAGCGTGGCTGGTGTGGCCACCTACTGCTGGCTCACCCAGAAGTAGACGGTGGCCACAGTGACTTCCCACCTAGCACTGGGGGCCATGGGATAGGTCTGCTGTGGTGGTGTCTGTCCTCACCTTCATTCAGGGAAGATGAGGAAAACAGCAAGGTGTGGCAGTGATGACGGTTGTGTCCTGTGTGAGCCTTTGCCCGAGAGTGTGAATCTGTGCTGTGCTCTGTCTCTAAGTGTCTACGTCTGGGTTTGTCTGTACATGAGGGGTGAGGATGGGGTCCCTGCATGTTGTGTGTGTCTGTTGTGTCCAGGGGAGGGGAATTGGTGTGTCTTAACTATCAGGAAAAGATGAGCCAGGAGAATTTGGTTCCCTTCTGCAGTTACATATTAGACACCTACTGTGTGCTAGACCCCAAACCTACTGTGCCTTGGCCACTCTAACCACAACTTCTGCAGGAGAGGGCAGGAGGCCGGTGCCTACAGACCACACACACACACACACACACACACTCAGAACAGATGGGGAAAGGGGAGAGGGATCCAGGCATCCCCCATCCCCCACACTCACAGGAGAGGTACCTGATTACACCTGGAGGGAACACCTTCCCAGCAACCCTTAGACCACCTGAGAGCAAGAACAGGCAACCAAAGAAAGGGCTTTCCCTGGAGGAGCAGCCAGCGAGGAACAGACACCAGGCAGGGCTGGCAAGAGCAGTGGAGGCAGGGGGCCCCCAGGAGGCTTATTAGGGAGATACATTTACCACAAGTAGGAGGCTGCAGGGCTTCAAATCCAGCTCTGCCCACTTTCTGTCTAAACTATCTGAGCCTTGGTTTCCCTGCAATGAGTCGATGAGCACTGTGTTGGACTTAGGCAGCTCTTCACACAATCCCGGGGCAGCGTGAGCACTTGGTAGGCGTCACCCATTATTGTTGCTGAGCAATGCACGGTGGGTAACACGGGAGTGCAAAGGATAAAGAGCAGGGGCTGGGTGGCAGGAAGATGAGGCCCTGCTTTATGGTAGTGAATTTTTGGTCCTCAGAGCAGCCATGTGGCAGAGACAGTGGCTGCAGGTGTGGCCAGGCTCTGCAGGCCTCAGTTTTCTTCCAAAGATGGGGAGCTCCATGGAGATGGAACCCTGGCTTTGTTGGGCAAGCACTCAACCACTCAGCAACATCCCCAACCCTAAAGACCACCACTTTTGACTTATTTGACTTCACTTTCCAGTATTGTGTGTGTTTGTGTGTGTCTGTGTGTGTCTGTGTGTGTGGTACTGGGGATCGAACTCAGGCCCTTGTGCTTGCAAGGCAGGCAGCAGAACCATTGAGACAAATCCCTAGCCCTTGACGTCACTTTCTTCCACCACCAAAGTTCTCCTTCAAAGTGTTACTTCTCCCTCCTCTTCCTCCTCTTCCTCTCTCTTCCTCTCTCTCTCTCTCTCTCTCTCTCTCTCTCTCTCATACACACACACACACACACACACACACACTTTGTGCTCCCTGCATTTCCAAAGTCATCAGCTACACCACCTAGCACAGCACGGAAGGAGAAGATGAGTGGAGAAAGCTCTTTCCCATCCATCCCATCTGAGATTCTGTCCCATTGGAATGGATCGAATCCCAGACTGGATAACATACATAAAGAGCTCAACACTGTGCCCAGAAAATAGGGAGCCTGTCCTCCACACACTGGGCCGGTGACTAGTGAAGGAAGTCAGGGAATAGATGAGGTAGAAGCCTACCCTGGGAGAGGCCTGGGACACGGGACCCCCACGGGCAGATGGTGCCATGGAGAATCCGTATTCCAGCCCCATCACATGCAGATCCGAGGCTGGAGAGGTGAAAGCACACACCCAGGGCCCCCAGCGACCCAGGCACTGAGCGAGCAGCAGGCCCACGTCTCCTGGCCTTTCCACACAACCGCCACCCCACTTCCTCTGCCAGCACAGCGAGGGTCACTGCAGCCTCTCAGTGTGATAGGCTGGGGCCTCCTGGGGCACAAGATCTCAATGCCATTTATCAGAGGAATTTGGGCCAACAGAGGATTGGAAAAAATGGATACTCGGGTCAGCCTTCCCAGAAGAGGGGTTAACTTCTTCGTGGGCATTTGGGATGCTCTTCATTTCAGTCACCAGCTTAAAAAACCATCAATTCCTCGCTGCTCGACACTGCTCTGCACCCGCAAAAACTTCCTGCTCCTGTTTAGTTATAGTAACCCTGTGAGGCAGACCAAGTCAGGATTTTCACCCAATCCTACAAAAAAGGAACTGGAACCCAAAGAGTACAAGGTGACCAGCCTACAGTCTTCTCGAGCCAGCGACCCAACACCTAGGCGGCCCACGCCTTGGGACTGAGCCCGCTTCTCTGTGCTCATCCACACCCGGCACCTCAGCCTGCCCCTGAATGACACCCGACTGTCCCCTCCACAGGGCACCCAGAACTCTGTGTCCCAAACCTTGAGTTCCCCCTCTCTCCCCTTGCTCCTAGGCTTGGTCCTTTCCCAGCCTCCAGGGTGATTTTTCCAGCCAGCATTCAAGACTGGATCCTAGAAGTCATCTCAGTGCCACTTTCTTCTCTCCCCAAATACACCGGTCAAACCCTAAGTAAACGTCTCTCAAATCCATCCTCCTAGGCCAAGCGCCATCGTCGCTCTCACCTAGCAGATGCAGGAGCTTTCTCCCTGGGTCCCTGGGTGCCTGGAGCCACCTTGACACTGGCTTCTTAAGATGCAAATCACATTATGACAGCTGTGGCTGCTCTGAGCCCGTTAATGTCTCCCAGTGCTCTTAGCTAGAGGAAAACTCTTTAGCACATCCCACTGGTGCCTTGGGACCTATAAGGCCCTTCATGGCCCAGCCTGGTAGCCACTACTCCCCATGGTCCCCAAAGCCCTGGGTGAGCTCCCTGGAACCAGCCTCTTCTAGGCCCTGCAGGAGTGCCACTGCTTCCTCCCCCGAAATACTCTGTGTAGTCCATCACCGTTCTGCCTCTGGAATGTGTCCTCATCCACCCAACATCAGCCCTGCAGGGGAGTCCTCCTGATTCCCCCACTCACTCAGAGGAGGCGCGGGGAGGCAGGGGAAGCCTAGCTGAAGGGGAGCCCGGACGAAGGGAAGCACCACACTCAGACACGCCTGCCTGGGATAGCCAACCTTGGACACATGGCTTAACCTCTCCAGGGCTTCTGTGAAAGGGGATAATCAAAGTAGTCTCTCCATAGTGTTGTGATGAGAATAACAGAGTTAATACACACACAATGCTTAAAATAGTCCCTGGCGCACACTCAACTCTCACCTTCACGTGCCCTATAGGTCCCTTTCTGTCGCAGCACTGTATCGTGGTTCTGTTCTGATGACATCTAGCTCCCTTACCTTAGTCACTTTCCTATCCCTGCACACGATTACCTGACACCCACAACTTAAAGGAAGAGAGGTCTATTTTGGTTCAGGGTCAACTGGCTCCAAGGCAGAAACACTGTGGCAGAGAGGTACAGCAGAGGAAAAGGTGCTCAACTCATGCCAACCAAGAAGCTGAGAGGAATGGGGGTCGCAGCAATGAGAATACACCCTTCTGGGTCATGACCCTGGCGGCCACTCCAAGGCCCCAAGCCTCATGGCCCATTCACCAATGAACTCATGGATGGATGAATTGCTGATAATTGTAGCACACCCCCGCCCCCGGTCTGATCTCATCAAAACAGCTGAGGCTTTGGGGCACATTTCATACCTGAAGCATAACGTCCCTCGTGGGACCATAAGCTCTGTAAGGACAGGGACCAGGTTGGGTTTCGCAGCCCTGATGTCTCCCTGCGCCCGGCTCAGCATCTGGCAGCAGTAAGCACTCAGCCTGTGTGTGCTCTGGGCTCACCGCTGGTCACATGCAGAGCATCTCCCTGCTCCAGACCACGAGTCCTTTCCCCAACTTAGTACACTTTATCCCAAAGGTGACCGCCTACACTGGCAGGCCAAATCCAGCCAATAAAACTTTATTGGAACACCACCACACTCACTGGTTTACATATTGCCTGTGACTATTTTCATGCCGCATAAAGTAGAGAAACTACAACAGAGGCTATGTGGCTAGGAAAACCAACAACAGCTACTTGCTGTCCCTTTACAGAAAAAGTTTGCTGCTGCCTGCTTTATTTGCAGTCTCTTTGAAGCCAAGGTAATGGCTTCATTTGGTTGCTGTAAGCATCCAACATGTGAATCCACAGAAGGCCCTTCGAGCCAGGCACAGGAGAGGGGCTCCCTGAATGTTAGCAGGAATTGTGGGTTGCCATGTGCTTTTTCTAGGAGACACATAAGTATTTGTTAATTGCACAAATTGGATGTTTTTGCTCCTTGGAACAGATTTTGGCACCAAGACCTCACCAGCCTCCATGGAAACCCAGGAAAATTTGGGGTGGGGGTTGTATTTGGACTGAAGGGGGAAGGGCCTCAAAACTCTCCAGAATCTCTGCCACTCTACACCTAGCACCGATGTGGTGCAGATATTTCTCATTTGAATGGTTACAATGACACCTCTCGGACTTCCACGTGCACACAAATCTTGTTACGGGCACCTTGCTGAACTGTGCTTTCTAATCCTATAGATGCAGGGTGCGGCCTGAGGGTTGCATTTCCCACCAGCTCACAGTGCTGCTGCCCCATGAACCGAGCTAGGAGCAGGAAGGCCTTCTGACGGGGCTGGGAGCTGGCATTGCTATTACTGCTCCCATTCTACAGGATGGGAGACTGAGGCTCGGGCAGGTAATGACCCTTGTCCAAGGATCCATAGTGAGTAAGAGACAAAGCCCCGGGTGTGACCAACTCCCAGGTCCTCTTTCAGTGTGTGACACTGCAGCTAGAAAGCCCTCCCTCAAGATCCCGGCACCCATCTGCTTTTAACTACTTCCTTCCCAGCCTGGAGCGGGGCGCGCACAGTCCAGCTTCCTGGGCACAGCGCTGTGTCCCAGTTGCCTCCGTCATCCTCTTTGGGCAGAAGAACCCTCCCTCAAGAGAGATGAATGGAGGTGCCCGCCTGTCATGCTGGCGGTCTGGGAGGCTGAGACAGGAGAAATGCAAGTTGAAGCCCTGCCTGGGCAACTCGCTGACTTAGGGAGACTCTGTTCCACACAAAAAAGAGCTGGGTGTAGCTCAGTGTGAAGGCCCTGGGTTCCATCCCCAGCACCATAAAAGGAAGAAGGGGTGGGTTGGGACCGGCTATGCTGGCACAGGTGCCTGTGCTTGTGTCCCCACGGCCACCTCCACACAGACGATATGGGAAGCTGTTTCCGGCCTCCTGAAGCAGTTGCATTTCCTCCACACCATCCTGTGCCCTCTGCAACCAGCTGTCCTCTCCTCCGCCTCTCCATCTTGCCCGCACACATTTCACTGCTTGTGTGCACACTCACGCATGCGCACACAGCGCCCTAGCCCCAACCCTCCACCCCCTGCTCGCAGGAATGCTTGGCTGAGCCTCCAGTTCCCAGATGAAGGGGCTGCTGTGAGGCCTTCATTCAAAGAAGCGCAGCTGGGTCTGCCCCAGGCAGCACACGGAGGCAGGAAGTCCTCCCTCTGCTCTGTGCCTGTGGCAGCCACTGCGGCCCTCAGAAGTCACACCATGTCCCCTTTCTTCCTTGATGCTGGCATTCCCCTTGCCACCTGGCCAGAAACCACACGTACCCATACGGAGAGGGCAGCACCAATGGAAAACCAGAGAGGGCAAGGCACTTGCCTTCCCGAAACAGCAAGTGAGCAGCACAGCAGGGACCCAAATCCAGCTCTCCAGACCCTTCAGCACCCTTCCTAGGCTCCTAGGAAGCCACACAGGAAGATTACAGGGGCTGGTCTGAATTTGAATCCTGGATCTCTAGCTGGGTGTCCATGAAGATGTTCCTTTACCTCTCTGAACCTCTGTTACCTTGCTTCTAAATTGGGGCAAACACACACTCTCACACACACACACACACACCCTGGAAGCGGTTACAGGATGAGATTATATAATGGTAGGTTAGGCAGGAACCTGGACAGATACAGGGTGGGTACATGCCAAGCGTCTTCTCTTCTCCTGGGTCTTCAGTAAGATCTCACCACTCCCACGCACGTGTCAATTTGAGAATTAGGGTGGCTGTGAGTGTTGCATGTGGGTACTGTTACCTGGGCTGGATGTCAGGCCCGGGCTAGAGTGCACTGTCTTAAATAATTTGCAGGGAGAGAACACCCGCCCTGAGTCTGAGGAGGGACATCCTTGTCCCCGTGAGGCTGAGACAAGGGCATGAGCTCAAGTCCCTCCCACGCCCTGAGCCTCACTCCCACCAGTAGCCTCAGATTGCTTTAGCACAACGCATGCGCTGAGTACAGAGCCCCGCCCTTCTCCACGCCCCTCTCCTTCCACAAACTTGGCCACTTACTAATTAGCAGTAGCCTCTGCTACAGATAGGAGTGGTGACACGTATGTCACAGAAAGCTACCTAAATTCTTCTTGGGAAAGTCTAAGTGGAAAGTGGTCATCTTGCCGATACTTCTGGGCCATTCTGCCACCCAAAGTGCCGTGGGACACAGGGGATAGGAGAAAATCCCTATTCCTGGTGCCTTTAACCCTGGAATGCCTCTGGGCCAAACCCTGGGCTCTGCCAAAGGGCCCTGTGGCTAGTAGAACTCAGCTTCCTTAGAAGTCGCTCAAACCACTAAAACAGTCCCTGTCTGGCCACCTGCTCCTTGGAACAGAATCAGCAGGGGTCGCAGCACTCCTCCTACACTGCCTGTGTGGATCTGGGTAGAAAGAAACCATTTTACTTCCCAGAGACACTCTGTGGAGGTCCCCAGCTCGGGTCCTCATTCCAACGTGGCTCTCCCACAAACACACCCAGCTTGCCTGCCAGCACCTTTCCAGTCCACCTCCCCTGTGTTCTCTTCCCACAGTGCTGCAAGCCAGATACTGTACCCATGCTCCCTTTTCCTAGCTAGGGATGATGTCGAGGACCTGTACTCCTAAGACTCTGGGCGGCTGAGGCAGGAAGATGACAAGTTAGAGCCCAGACTGGACAATTTAACAACTTAGCAAGTCTCTGTCTCAAAATCTAAATAAGGGCTGGGGATTTAGCTCAGTGGTTCCAGAGCCTGCCTCGCAAGCACAAAGACCCGAGTTCGATCCCCAGTACCACACACACACACACACACACACACACACACACAAAAAAAAAACCTATCGAAATCTAAATAAGTAAATAAACAATGAAAGGGGTACTCCGTCACAAAGCCGTGGATTCAATTCCTAGTACTGAAAAAAAAAAAAAAAAAAAAAAAAACTTTTGCCAGGTGGGGATGTGGCTTAGTGATGGAACCATGCCTTACATGTACAGACCTTGGATTCTGTCCTCCACACCATAAAGAAAAAATAAAATTAAACCAGGCGTGGTGGCACATACCTGTAATCCCAACATTCTGGAGGCTGAGGCAAGAGGATCACTTCAAGTTCAAGGCCAGCCTGGGGTACATAGAGAGTTTAAGAACAGCCAGAACTACATAGCGAGATCTTGTCTCCAAAACAAATAAGATAAAATGTTCTTTTCTCCTCTCTCCTGATTATCAGTCCCTCATTCTTGTCCTGAAGTTTTTGTTTGTTTGTGGGTTTCGGTTTTTTTTTCCTCTGTTTTTCACATCCTCTTTTCTTTGTAATGTGCCCATTTCCTCCCCCGTCCTTGTCTAAATCTAAATAAATCAATAAACAGTTGGGGGGTTGCTTCATCCTTAAGGATAAGCTTGTATTGTGAGCTTACTCTGTCATGGCTACAATAAAAATATGATAAAGTAAAAAATATATATGAAAAGAAAAAGGCACAGTATTTGCCTAATGGCATGTAAGGTTCATGGTGGAAATATACATGAAACAAGTATTTATTGTAATTATTATCATTTGTTGCCCCAGGAACATTTTTATAAATGCATTATCTGCATCAACTCGTTTAATCCTCACAACAATCTTAGGAGACAGCACTGTCATCATCCCTGCTTTACAGAAGAGGAAAGTGAGGCACAGAGATGTGAGAAAACTTTCCCAAACTTAAATAACAAACGCTAGGGCCAGGTTCAAATCCAAGCCAGGCGGTCCCACCCGACCACTACCTCACGCTGCTTCTCTGAGTCCACGTGTCCCAAACCGCAAAGCAAAGAGCTACAAAGTGCGCATAAGGAAGTCAGGGAAGGCTCCACAGAGGAGAGGACTTGGAGATGGGTTTTGATGGATGAGTACAAGTTTGCTGAGTACAGAAGAACAGGAAAGACATTCCGGTAAGAGAGCTTAGTACGGTAACAGTCGGCAGTGCTCAGTGACATGGCTTGGGAATTTTGCTAAGCTGGACAAGCAGGAATATGGGAACCAGGAGGCACGAGCCTGAAGGAGACAGAGGCCGAGTCACAGCGCCCTGTATGACTGGTGAGGTGCCAGAGTCTGGTCCTGGAGGTAGCGGGGACCTCCAAGGGCCCAGCCACAGCAGCTTGCCCTTCTCCCCTCCCTCCTGGCGTTGCTAGGCAACCGGGACTCCCAGCGGGGTCCATGAAGGTGGCTCCCCAGCTGCCCTGAGCCTCCCCACTGTCTCACCGCCACGCCCCTCTCTCCCTGCCCCTCCGTGTTCCGCAGGGGCCGTGAGGGCCTCCAGCATCTTCCCGATCCTGAGCGTGATTCTACTTTTCATGGGCGGCCTTTGCATCGCGGCCAGCGAGTTCTACAAGACTCGGCACAACATCATCCTGAGCGCCGGCATCTTCTTCGTGTCTGCAGGTAGCGGCCGCCAACCCGGCGGTCTGGGGTCCGGGCCATGGTGTGGGGACGGAGCTCCCAAGGCTCAGCGGTTGGGGGACCTTCACAGGCCTGGGGGGTGGAGGGTCAGGCTGGGGTCCTGCCCATGAGCCCCCACTGAGTCCTCCAGGGACCCAACACAGACTCCCCTCCCATCACCTGGAGAAAGGCCAGCACCTGGGGGCCCCTCGAGCCTCCACCTCCCCAGTACAAGTAAATGCATGAGAGGATGGGGGCATCAAAGGCTCCACCCTTGCAAGACTACAGCTCCAGGCTTGGAACCACAGAGCCCCCTCCTTCACTGTCCCAGCTGGTTGGGAGCAGGCAGCCCCTCTGCCAGGTGGCTGAGCAGAGACTGCAGCATGGGCCGTTGAATAGAACCGACTTGCCTCTCAGGGGCACCTGAATCACCAGGAACAGGCACTGTATCCACTCATTTAACCCTCTCCACAAGGCTACATCACCCCCATCGCACAGACAAGGAAACCGCAACTGAGCTTAACTTGTCAGTGGCTTTGAAGCTCAGCAGCCTGGCTCCGGCAGCCAGCCTTAAGCCCTGCTGCACCAGCTTAGAATCTCTGTGCTGCTTGAACAACTTGCGTAACCTCTCTGTGCTTCTGCGCCCCCATCTGTAAACTACTGATAAGGCACTTAGGAGGGAAGGCAGGTAGTAAGTGCTCAGTAAACAGTGTCCACTACTGTATTATTAGTAGTATCCAAAGGGTCATAGAACACCTCTCTCCTCCCCTCTCCCCATGTCTGTCTCCATTAGCCCAGCTCCACAGCTCTGTCTGTGTGGTATCATAAAACATTAAGACAGAGCTTCCCAGGGGTCCTCTATCCCGGGTCTCTGTCCATCCACCATCCAGCTGTGCCCACCCTTTCATGCTGCCGCCCGCGCCGTCCTTAGGAGCTGTAACCTCTCTGCTCCTCCCCCTGCAGGTCTGAGTAACATCATTGGTATCATCGTGTACATATCTGCCAATGCCGGTGACCCCTCTAAGAGCGACTCCAAAAAGAATAGTTACTCCTATGGCTGGTCCTTCTACTTCGGGGCCCTGTCCTTCATCATCGCCGAGATGGTCGGGGTGCTGGCCGTACACATGTTTATCGACCGGCACAAACAGCTGCGGGCCACGGCCCGCGCCACGGACTACCTCCAGGCCTCGGCCATCACCCGCATCCCCAGCTACCGCTACCGCTACCAGCGCCGCAGCCGCTCCAGCTCGCGCTCCACCGAGCCCTCTCACTCCAGGGACGCCTCGCCCGTGGGCATCAAGGGCTTCAACACCCTGCCGTCCACCGAGATCTCCATGTACACGCTCAGCAGGGACCCCCTGAAGGCCGCCACCACACCCACCGCCACCTACAACTCCGACAGGGACAACAGCTTCCTCCAGGTCCACAACTGTATCCAGAAGGAGAGCAAGGACTCTCTCCACTCCAACACAGCCAACCGCCGGACCACGCCCGTATGAAGACCGGCTCGGGCCAGCGGGAGGGACCCGGGGCGTGGGAGGAGGCGCGGCCCGCGGGCAGGGACAGGGCCACCCACGGGGAGACCTTCCCAAAGCAAAAAAAACACACACACAAAAACACAAAAAACAAAAAAAGAGAAAAACATAACAAGTAAATTTAAAAAAAAAGAACAAAATATAAGAGGAACAAAGATGTAAAACAACAGGGAATGGGGGAAAATATAAACGAAGGAAGACAAACTTTAAAACAAAGCAAGAGGGATTAAAAATTAACAATAGAAAATAAATCTAAAAGAAAATGCATGATTTCCCATGTACCATTATTTTAACATTTAATAAAAACCAATTTAAATGAAAACCATAAAAGGGAATCAAGATACTATTAAAACAAAAAAAAGAAAAAGAAAAAAAAAAGAATGGAAAGAAAAAGGGATGACCTTTGTATTTATTAGGGTTTTATGTTACCCTTTTTTATTTGTTTAACTGGGGAGAGTTTAAAAACGAAGAGTGTTAAAGTATTCTGTTCCCCTGAACCCCAGTGGGCCCCGCCTCCCTGGGAGGGTTGGGGGCAGAAACTCAGGAGCCCATGGTGGAGTCCAGGCCCCTGGAATCCCTGGAAGGGGACCCCCTCCCCGCTGGGAGCCAGCTCCCCCAGCACTGATGGGGCAACTGTAGGCCTCCAGGTGGCCTGAGTCCTCTGTCCCTCCTGTCCGCTAGGTGCCTGGGGGGTGTGCACTTGGGGCTTGCCCAGCCCCTGGTTCCCAGTCCTTAATGGTCCTAACCCACTGTGATGACTTCCTAGGCCTTGAGGAAAGGGAAGGGGAAGGGATGGCTGCTGTGGGCTTACAGAGATGCCAGGCATGCTGGCATTCTCAGGGTGAGCCTTTTGGGGTCACCATCCCCAAGCTCCTGTCCTTGGGGTCAGGAGATGCCCACCCCTCCCTGGGGGGAGGTAAAGCAGCTCTCCCTCCTCACCCCTCACCTCAGGGCCACATGATGACCCTGGGGTGATGGTAGACCCCCAGACTCATAGGCCCCTGTCCCCTGGGCAGGGGGCTCTTTGACCCTTTGGGGGTCCTTGGACTCACTGATGCCCTCTCGGGGCCCAGGGTCCAACAATGACATTGCAAAAAGGTTTCTTTTTACAAAAGAAAAAGGAAAAACAAGTGGTGATTTTTTTTAATAAAAAATCCACAGACTATAAATAAATGTAAATATATAATAAGTGGATTTACTTGCAAGAAAATCAGATAGTATTTTTCTTTTAATTCTTTTCCAGCTTTAAACTGTGAAAAACAAAACAATAGGGTGGGTGGGGGACTTAAAATTTAGCAGGGAACTTGTAAAGACAAAACAGAAAACAAATATACAAATCCATTTAAAACAACAACAACAACAACAACAACAAAAATGGAAAGATGCAAGCTGGGCTTAAAGCCAGAGGGAAAAGAGGAAGGCCCCAGCCAGCTGCAGGGAGCCTGCTAGAAAGATTGCTTCCTTCTACTCCGAAGGTGCTGCTGACTGGGAGAGAGGAGACCACACGCCCACCCCACACCACAGCTGCACACGTGTCCCATGGCCCAGCTCTGTGACTGCTCATGGGGACACCCTCGGTCTGCACTTCCCAGCCCACACCCAGCCGAGAAACTGACTCACACCCTCCAAAGCCATCGTAGACAGCACCACGACACCACCCTGGCCTTTGTGGCCCCCGTTCCCCTCACTGCACCGCTACACACGTGCACACACCATGCTCATGTGCACGGCAAGGGCACTGGCCCAGAGTCCAGCCCTGGATTCCATGCTTCCTCACCGAGTGGCCCCTCCAGGCCTCCGCGTCCCCCCATGTACACGCACAGACCGGCCCAGACAAGCTCAGAAGGCCCACTCTTGCTCTGTGTATCTGACTTTTAGGATCGCCACCTGCCCAGAGCAAGATGCCAGCTCTTGCTGCCACCGAGCTCCAGTGACAGTGAGAACATTCCCAACCCATCAGTTGGCCTCTCTCTCTCTCTCTCACACACACACACACACACACACACAAACACACACACATGCACATATGCACACACACACACACCTCCCCTATATGGCTCCTCACTGTGCTCCCCCGCCCCTACCTCCACATCCAACGTCAAAGCAAAAATATACACACATGAGCTAATGTATTCTGCCATTCAGACAGAGGGAAAAGACACAGAGGTCCCCAGAACCACTCTTCATTTTGTGCCCCCTTTCTCTAATGCCATAGCCCCATCACAGAGAGTGAAAGAGCCTTCCTTGAGAAAAAGTCAGTCCCCAGGGCTCCCCACTGTCTTGGGGGAGATCAGAGGAAAAGATCCTCCGAGGTTTTCAAAAGTTCTCCCCTCTCTCTCTCTCTCTCTCTCTCTCCCTCCTTCTCCCTCTTTCTCTGGAACTGAGAGTTTTAGCTGTGCATAGTCTTGGGGGGACACCTGTTCCTCAAAATTAAACTCAAGTGAGGGGTACCCTGGATTTCTCCCTTTTCTTCTCCAGAGTGACAAGGGCCAGTTCAGACTGAACAAAATTCCAAGCTAGACATTTCCTACCAGCCTGCGTGTGGTCCAGTCCCGTTTAATGGGATTCATGTCACCTGCAGTGACCTGTCTCCTTGGGTTTGCCACTGTCCACCCTGGCCTGCCCTGAGCTTTCCCAAGTCAAGCTCTCTGGGGCTCTAGAGGGTGACTAGAGAGGCTGCTTGAGCATTCCTGGCTGCATCCTGTCTTTTGTCTGGAAGAGGAAAGTTGTCTCACAGGGTCAGCAGCAGCTAGAGCCCCACAGCTCAGGCCCCTATTGCAGGGGAGGCCACAGGGCCCAGGGCGCAGAGTCGGGGCTGGTCAACCCGTGGCGGCTACCAAGTATATCTCCAACTGGGCAGAAATGACCATCTATCCCTCACCAGCTGCGCCTATCAGCATCCCCAGATTCCAAACCAGGTCAAGGCCTAGCAAGAAGGGAGAACCTGAGCAGTGGTCCCAAGTGTTTGCTGTCCCACTGGAAAACCAGCCCTGGTTCTCTGAGTTCCGACATTTGGGCCTGGCTTCTTTCCAGGCCTGGGGCTGCTTGAATAAGGCCATGGGGGTGTGAGTGACACCAGCATGGCAGGGAAAGGGCTAGGGGGCTGGGAGGAAAGGAGCTGGGACGGTTCCCACCAGGGCACTGCCCTGCAGGGTGGATGATTGTGTCTAGCTCCAACCGGTTCAAGAAACCAACCTCCATTTTCTTTTCTTGGTGGGTCCTTTTTTTTTTTTTTCAGACTGTTAACAGAAAAAAAATTTTAAAAAGCAGAAAACAAAACAAAAATACAAAACAAAAAAAATCCTGGTACATGAAATAAAGATTTTTTTTATAGCTTGGTCCTCATGTTGGTGAATTTAATTGCTTTTCCAACTCCTCGCATCCCATTTAAAGCAATCCTAAGGCCGTATATTCTCAGAATTGGGAGACAGGAAGCTTAGATGCCATGCAGTAGGGTGACCACACTCCTCAGGTCCCGGGTTCTGTCTTAAATAGCGAAGGGGGACTCACCCCATTCTGAGGAAGCATTGGCTGGTGCTGGGCAGCAGCAAAGTCTATTCAAACCCACCCTTTCCGTCACACTCCAGCAACACTGTGCAAAACCCTCCCCTTTCCAGCCCGATGGCCCCTCAGGTCTTCACAAACAGAGACCATGACATCCTTGAAATTTCCCTTTTAGAATAAACCAGCCCTACTCAACATCCCAGCCATAAACTAGGGTTTGCATTTTCCCAAGGAAAGTGTGCTGCCTGGAGGGATAAGAAGCTGGGGCTCTCTGCAGAGAAGTATTGCCCAGAGGGGACCCTGGAGTGACAGGAGAATGGGAAGGGTCTCCTAGGGACCCCTGGGACTCTCTCAGCCTGAACAGATGGGAAAGACAAAGATGGAAAGCTAACCTGACGACATGGACCTTGGTGTTGGAGAAAGGACCCATAAAGGCAGTTAAAAAACTAAACCATAACTAGGAGGCTGAGGCAGAAGGATCACAAGTTTAAGCCCAGCTTGGGCAATTTAACAAAACTCTGTCTCAAAATAAAAAATGCAAAAAAGACTTAGGAATGTAGCTCAGTGCAAAGGCCTTGAGTTTGGGGTTCAAACTGAAAAATAAAGAAGAATTAAGCCACCAATGTCCAGCCTGGTCAGTCAAACTGCCAGGTTAGTAAATACATTGAATGCATTTAGTTTAGTTTACTTTAACTTTAAAAATCTGTTGTGGCATGTGGTAGTACATACCTGTGATCCCAGTACTAGGAAGCTGAGACAGGAGGATCACTGCAGGTTCACAGTCAGCATGGGCTACACAGTGAGTTCAAGGCCAGCCTGAACTACATAGCAAGAACTTGTCTCAAAAAAAAAAAAAAAATCCCCCAAAAAACTAAAAATCTGTCATCTGTCATGCCAAAAAGGACAGAGGAAAGCCGGCACTTTGAAATCAAATCTAGACAAGGAACAAGCCACAAAATACCTATGTGCTCTCCTTCCACCCGCTGATACATTTCTGTGCCACCTCCCCACCACATCTGGATGTATGATCCCTGGCCCAGAAGGTCAGATAGAAACTCTGAGCACATGTCACTGCAAACAAAAGGGAAGCTGAGAACAAACACTGTGTGCAGTGGAATCCTGAGGTGCTGCTGCTTTCTCTTTCTGAGAAGAGAAAGGCGCCGTACTCCAGCGCTCCTGACCTCTACCGTCACCTACCAAAAAGGCATGGAGGACTCACTAGTCACAGGCTGGCATACACCAGCCCAGTTGTCTTAGTATTGTCATTTGAGGAGCCAAGAGAGGCATCCAGACACCAGTGGTCACCCAGCTGGGGCTGCAGGGAAGTAGCAGGGCCACGGTCCAGTCCCCTTCAGGGCCGCGGGGAGTCTTTGGGGAGAAAGACACTGCTGGAGATTGGAGGGAGGGAGCTAAGCCACCAGACAGCTTCCAGGGCCTCCGGCCGGCGGAGACCTATACCACATGCACACGAAGAGGGAGGAGGCTAGGAAGAGGCCACCCTAGCACTTGGCATTGTTTGGAACCCCCTGCTCCATTCAGCCTGTCACTGGGGGCCGTGGTGCCAAGAGCCCCGCAGATTTGGATTATCTCTCCAGGCTCCCCC